CCCCCACACCCACATCCACACCCACCCACACCCTAGATAGCAATATTCTAATTTTATCGACATCAAAAAATGACCGCGAAATAGTCCGTATTTAAATATTCTGCATTGATACATTTGGGACACCATCAGTCAATGTATGAAATGAGAAAAGGTTCAAAGCTATCGATTTTTGCGCTAATAGATTGCATGAACCGTATAGCTTATGCGAAAATAAACGAGCTGGTGGGCAGTGTCGATTTTCGTCTCGTCGTACTTGTAGAATTTTCAAAAAAGAAAGATGTGTACATAAAATGAAGTCTTTTTATGAAGATATAAAGTTTTGTTCTTTTTATTCGATGATGTGCTTTGTTTTGAAATAGAGTTAAACTGTTGCTTAGAATTTAGTCTACAGGTGTTGGAAATTTCTTCTGTTGCACACGTTATTTTTATGTAAGCATAGAAAGAAAGATGTTTCTCAAATAAAAGTAAGATTTTATTGAAGCCTTATCAACTAAACGTTAGATAATATTAAAGATATGCGCTATATGCTGTTTATTTATGCCTGACTTGTGACTTCATGAGGTGAAGATAAGAGCATTATTTTATTATAACAAATTAGGTTGAAAATAATGTGATAATATAAATAATATTCAAGACTATAGTTGTTTATGGATGCGTATCACTCAAATCCGTCAGATCCAACATTTTTTCGATTATTTGTATTCGATGACTAGCACACATATCATATTTCTTAGGCAATATTGACTATGATCTTATAAAACCCAAGCTATAATTAGTTCTAACATTCAAAGTAGGATTCATAGAATCGATCCCAGGCTTGAATATGTCTGGGACCTAGCCGATGGACTCTACTTTTCATTAATTGACAGATGTATTAAAATTGCTTGGTGGACTATTGACAGTAAAATTTTGGTAAATGAGCTAAACAGAATAGTTTCTTGTTCATATAATTAGCTATATGATACTAATACAAAGGCAAGTTCTTCATTCTGATATTAACTTTCTATAACAGTTTATAAATCGAAAAAGTTGAAGATCATACAAAAGCAATTTTTATTTCTCTCTTTATTTTCAAACAACAGAATTAAAATGACGTCGAAATAACAAAGTCAATTATCTTGTTTTAAACAGAAGAAAAAATTAATCTGCTTTGATACTAGTAGGGATTACGGCAAAGAATCGTTGTAATTGTGTTGGCATCATTTTGGGTTCAGTAAGAAAAAATGGCAAACCAAGCATTTGTCGATAAAGTACACCAAACATAAGTGCTAAGGCTCCTAGTTTATACCAAATTGATTCGATCATACAAAAAGCAAGAAAAAAACCAATGCTATGAGCTACGACATCCATCGTTGTCTCTGCCATTTCTCTACCAGATTCAAATAAACTAAATCGGTTTGCTTGAAACTCAACACAAGACCAATGAAAGATGCGTGAGATTTTATGTGCATTATCTTCTTGTATTTTTGTTCCATCTGGATTACGTCGTGGAGGGGGATGAATTTTCAAGTTTCTATAATAATATAAATGAACCATGAGCGCATAAGCCCACATGATACGAAGTGGTACACCAACGGTTTTTGATGAATAGAGTAGTAAATTAATCAGGTGTGTGAATGCGTCTAGCAAAAAATAATTATGTTGACGACGTAAAAAGCCCAATTTGGAATTACGAATACCTAAGTAGAATACTTATTGTTTAGAGAAGAAGATACATCAAAATTCTATCGAATAGATATTGGTGCTTCTATACAATACGCACACCATCAATCGCATTCTGCGCTGTCAGTGATTCAATTATGGGTGTGTGTATCGTGTAAAAGAACCGGGATATTGTGAAAATATGTTTTTTAAATAGAATGTGATGCTACCTAAAAAGATGAAAAGATGTGAAAAAGCCATAAATAGTTCCAGCGAAGCCCATATTAGACAAAATTCTTGATACAATAACATGATGTTGTATTAAATTGACTACACTTTAGAAATGAAAGTATATATACTTTCTTCGTTTTACTTATCTACTTGTATCAGTGTGAAGCTATCTCAGCGACCAATCATACGTTAGATATAATCAAACAATAGAAGAACGAAAAAAGCATTGAATACTTGCCGTGATCCGCAAAATGCTTAAATATTTTTCTTGATTACCGAAAATATATTCATTCAAAAACGACTAAAAGTGCAGAATCCATTCACGAAACAAAATTCTCAAATCCTCATCCACCACCTAAACAGTCAAAAATCAAAAGATGTCACCATACATAAACAGACAATCATTATGGAACATCCATCCAGTGTTTCTAATGGCAGGCGCCCCGAACAATAGCTAAACGTGCATCATATCTGCTATTTTCAATGAGTAGATCCTATTTTATATTGTACGCCGAACAGTCGAATCTATGAAGTACACTTTTCTAAATAAAGCAACACTTCGTTTCGAAAATGATTATGTATCTTTCAACAAAAAGTATAAATTTGACTTACTCTATTTTAAATGCAGGCAACATTACTTATTTATTTATATTCAAAGCTCTCTTTGAGAATATCAGGAAAAAAACGCAAACGTATTTTTCATTTAACCTCTTTTTTTGTTCATTGAAAAAGGCATTTTGCATCCTATAAAAAAATAGGATAGCTGTCTTTGTTCCTTTTTGAATGAATTATTCATATAGCTTCATTGCTCTACATGTTCATATAGCCTGTTGACGAGAATAGAACGTACAAGTGCACTTTACAAGCATAAAATTAGTGTAATATCGAATATCAACGCATACATGTGAAACGACAGAATCGATCCTCAACGAGACTGCATCACACATATGGGTGGTTAAATGTAAAAAGAAAACACTTTTTCTTTGATGTGATGAAAGTATTGTTGATTGATTCCAAATAGATTTGTCTGATGTAAAAATGAATTCTTCATTTCATCCATCTGATTCGAATCACCAGACATGCTTCCACACCTCAAAAGAAAAACATCATTCCTTGACATCCTTGCAAACGTCGTGAAGCAGCATTAAAGAGAAGTTTTTGCTCTTATGAAGTATGCCGAATCAGTCGGTAGGATTTAAGTCGATGTAAAATTCTATTTTAGATTTCATCGGCCTGGTTCGAACCATCAGGCAAACGTTTGTGATGAGAAGAAGAAAATATAATTTTCTCAAATATGTCAACACTAAGTGATGCCGCTTGTACAAGTCTTGAATTACATTGCTAGTATCTGGCTATGTTACATTGAGATGGCAGGTCTCGGACATTATTCTTTCGCACAATCTAGTCGTGTGAGATTTTATCTTGATTTAGCAAATGCTTCAAATGTGCTAGGAAAGGTTTTCGTAGTAATGATGAGTTCATTGATCTCAGTGTGAGATCATTGTATGAAGCAAATAATATAATAAACGTGTAGTGAATCAATGAAAAGTAAATGTTATAGTTTTAGTTTCTAAGACGTAGGATATCTTAGGTCAGGATTCGAGTATTTACTGAATGGATTTGCTCATGTAGGCGACCAAGTCACCAAAGCGATGGACCAAGATAGAACTCGAAAAGCTCTGTCTAACTCACACCCGATTTTTCCGAATTGAGCCTATTAGCATATAGAAAAACTGAAAATACTGATAAAGCACACGTGAAAAACTGCTCCTTTTCCAAAAAACTTGTCGCGATTTGCTCAAAAATGGGGCCAAAAACGAAAATGATGGACCAAGACAGAAGTCGACGAGGTCTATCGGATGGATACCCTTTCAACTCGATTTCTTGCTCAGGTCCTCCAGAAATCGGCCAACTCGAGTCTCAAGCATACATAGACAAAGAAGCAACTCCGTCTGATCGACTATATCATGGTTGGTTCTCAGTTTTTGTTAGCCACTGGTGGTGTGCCTAGCTTGAGAATATGTCAAAAGATGATTTAGATGACAATCTATGTGAGCATAGTAGTATTACAACTAATCGATAAAAACACAAAAAAAATAAACAACAGTTGTTCATTACCAATAATGCCTATTATTCTATTGAAATGAATGCTCACTGACTTACGTATCTTGCTTTGTTAGTGAGAGAAACAAAATTACCACGAGAAGCGATGAATATTGACTTATTTAGCTCTTCAACATGTGAAGCAATGTTTAGCTCAGCTCGTCCAATGTCTAATACATTTTCTTTTGTCGTATACTACAATGTACAAGAATTTCTTAATCATCCTCAAAAGCTGTCTCTCTTACACAAAATCCAGACTGAAAGCGAGTTTTGCTCAACTAATAATGCTTTTCTTTTCCCAAGACATTATACACAAGGGAAAAATTGAAAAAATCATCACATATACTTCCAGATGCGCTTAGGACAGTTGCTCGCACGGACAGTTGCGCGCGGACACTTGCATGCTCGGGCACTTGCTCTCTAGGACACGTGCACACTGGGACATTTGCTCGCTGCACAGATTTTACAAAAAAAATTGGAATAAAATAACGATAGAACAATGACACAATAAACTAATTTTATATGGGAAAACAATCATCATCATATACTAATTGATTTAATGGTTCCAATATTTTTGAAATTGATAATTCTAATATAATGACAACTTGTAATCAACGAAATATACATATAATATATCTACGCTGCCCAGATTAATAGAATCACTTCACGAAAAGCAAAAATGCCAGTCATTGTGTCATAACCCTCTAAAACCGCACCTTCACTAATATATAACAGCTATTCAAATACAATTGATCGGAAAAGTGAGACAAAAGTTCATTGGATATGTGGATATTCTAAAAACTATGCCTGTCACGGACGGTTACATATAAAATGAAACTGAATTCATTAGCACAATGGGTAACCATGAAAACCATATTAGTAAATCATTATGCGAAGCAACTCGTAAATATTATGAAAAATTAAGACAACATTCTGAACAAAATCAAACAAATCCGCATAATATTTCAACACACACAAATATCAGCGAACCAGATAAAGTGCGAATTCAATTACCTATTGTTTGTTGTCTTATACTCTATTCAAAATTGTGTTATACTTGTTGTTGAAGTTTTGTTGTATTGTTGTTCAAATTTTTCTGTCATGTTCTGTGCAATCCCTCACAACATTATTAATCATTTTCTTTTAAATACATATTTTCTTTACCTTATACATCGCGAGCAACTGTCTGTTTCCCTTCCAGACAGGCATGCACTCAGCGTAAAAATGATTGCAAAAGCGGTTTCTCGAGCTTTTACTGATGCTCCTGAATTATTATCTCGTTTTCAAATTAAAGGGGTTCTTGATGAAAACAGCATTACAAGTATGAAACAACTTAAGAATTGTATTCAAAATGTACTCAAAAAAAGAGTCACTAAAATGGATTATTCTAACTGACACGAGGAAACAGATGAAACATCCGCTTCAGAAAATGAATTAGATATTATGTTAGATGAAGAAAGTGATGTTGGCAGCAAAGACCAACAATCTGATAATGAGCAATACGAAACATCAAGTGCCTTGTCAGATGGGGTCTTACATGATCTGCAGGACGTTACGTTTTCTGGGATGCGAGTATTTGATACACTTCGTCCAGAATTAGCGAGATCGTATTTTGAAGTGGAAATAGGTGATGAAAAAAAATTTATTCACAAGCAGATTGTTTGTTGGGTTTTTAACTGAAAACAATGCGGTTTTGTCGAACGATCGTCTCACTTGTGTGATGCAAAAATAGAACACGACGAAGAAATGATTTAGTAGGACTTTTTTTGTTAGAAGTTAGTATTTTGATTGCCGTTTAAAAAAGAATAAGTATACATTTTGCTCCTTATAATAAAACAGATAAAAGAATAATGAAATGCAACAGTAACTGATAATTTTCCGCTTTATGAGAAAAACTCGGTTTTTTCTTATATTTGTTAAATAATACTTGCACACAGATGTTTGAAAAATACCTTGGTCATGAAATAGATTGGTTTCTTTTTATGTATCTGTGTCCATTGGAGATGTCCATCGCGGCTGAGAATCTGCCGTTGTCTCGTGACAGTTCTAAGAGAGAGAAGGCTCTTGCGCTGCTGTCGCGATCGTTTTAAAAAAATCTTTCGAAAATTCCTGTCGTTGCTGTACTGAACTAGAACTGTTGGTATGAATCCGCAAAATTCATCTAGTCTCTGAGTGTTACATTTATGGACACCTGAATTCTTTGCAAATTCATGAAGTTTTACAATGTCTTCTAAAAAACAGCTTGTTAGCGTAGCTCCTTTGGGGCTGAAATGTGGAACTCACATATACTCTCTACTCCCATTAAACTAATATAAAATGCGTAAAGTGAAAAACCTCGAACAGACTATAGCTGTTTTGCACGATAATCGATGTGCAGAGTAATGATCTATCTAATTTCTGCATTTTTAACAGATTTTTTAAAATATTTCTACGGCGCCTTATTTTTTTTTGTTTTCATTGCTGCTATTCGCTCATTATTTTTCTTTTTTTTTTAAGTCGTTTTTCTTAATTTAACATTCTCATTATTATAATCATTGAATTAATTGATAATATTAGTCTGTTTTATGCATTCATGATAT